AGCTGTGTTTCGTAAAAAAGGTCATTCCAGGGGATCATCTGATGACAATCCGACAGAGCATCTTCCATGATAGTAACGATAGGAGACTGCTAGGTCTGCAACGTCTCCGATATTATAAGATTTGCAGTGATCTTGTGGCTCTCCTTTGAATAACGGACTCCAACCCCAAGGAAGGTTTTGGAGCTGTCTCACAGTCATGCGAACAATACTCAAGAGATGTTCGAATCTCTAGGCTCTGCAGAGTGTCAAAAGCTGTTGTGTGGTGAAATACTCCTTGAAGCAAAAGACGAATCCCACCATGGTCATGCTACGCATTGATGTTGATGAATTGATTGGTAAAGTAATTCTTCCAGCCATAATTGTATCAGAACCCGCACGTTTAGCCTTTCTCGAAACAACTGTTGCTTTGATCTTCAAGGCGTTGAATTGTACGAGATCCATATTGCCCCATTGTTGCATCTTCTCCAAATCGTCGTTTACTGACTGGATCTGTTGCATTGTTGATATTGGTATATCAGAGGGGCGTTTATTCATTGATTTAACTACACTGTTCCACAGAAAACAAGATTTCAAGTTACTGAAGAGGAACTGAGTAAACGTTTGCACAATAGAAAATAGTTTAGCATAATATACAGTTGTAGTAGTTGTTCATTTGCCTCAGATTTCAATGGAATATTTCAAGCTGGTCTCTTACTAAGTTATAGATCAAGGGTTATAGTTACTACACATTGTATGAATAAGGAAGTGTTCATAAACTTATTTGTTGGCGTGGTAATGTAGAATGATTCGGTGTATTTAGATGCCTGACGGAGAATTCTGAAGATTATCTAATGCAGTAAGCATTGCTATCTATTGTTAATTATTTCGTCTAGCGTAATGACACCAGAACATTTTCGTCTTGTGGCCATGCTGCAAAAGCTATATGTCTTGAGTCTTGACAGTTAACTCTCTTGTGACGTGCCAATTGGTGGATAAGTCCGATCGGCTTTATAACTCAAAACTATTTGAGAAAACGTCTTTGGATTGCTTCAATTTATTGATATGAACTTGATAATATGGGTTCCAGATTACTGACGCATATTCTAGCTTTGATGTGGAGAGGGCATAGTAAAGATTTCAGGTGTCGATAATTCTAATTAGAATTCCGTACATACGGCTTGCTGACTTACGTATGTCTACATGGTTACGGAATGACAACTATAGGTTGAAAGTATCTCCAAGATCCTTGAAATTGAATGGTCTGTCTAGAGCATGATTATCTATTTTATAGACAAATATAACTAGAGATTACTCAACACTTGGCAAGATTCAATGCTAGATTATTATGACTACACCATTGGCTGATCTGATTAAGATTTTCCGATAGTTTCTCACTGTCAGTCATATCAATGATATGCAGGAAAATCATTAGATCATCAGCATACAAATAAAATTCAATTATGTCACATTGATGGAAGTCTTAATCAATAGTGGACCGACGTTAGATCCTTGCGGTACATCTGATTAGGCGAGGTAGTTCTCAGACCAAAATCCATTCAACTGCACATACTGTGTGCGATTGGACATATATGATTTGAATAATACAAGTAGGTGAGTCGGTAAGCCAAAATTCAAGAATTTTTGCAGTATCAGATCAAGTTAAAGTCTATCAAATGCTTTGGTCTAATCCATGTGGATAACGTCTGTCTAAATTCTGTCATCTATATTTTCCGCTATGTATATGACGCTATTAGGATGGTTTTGTCAGCAAAACTGAAGAAAGGGTTGGGAGTCATGTGCATCAGATATAGTTGATATGTGGTAAGGAGAGTGTTGGATATTATTTCAACAAAATTGTTGAAGACTGCATAACATTTGCTGCGATCATTATTCTCATATTTTATTGATATTAGACCCATCGCTTGGATGAATATAACTCATTCAATATGCCAGAACCTGATGAATGGCACAGATAGTGTGTTTTCAATATCGATATTGTTAATATTGCTTCTGATGTTTGAGTGACATCAACAGATGGCACCACTTATACGACTCCATCGAACGACTGCTCAAAGGCATCAAATAATACATATTTTATATATTTTTCAACTTGATTTTGAGAGTGATTTCTAATTTCTTCGATGAACATGTCTAGTACCGTATTATTTATGTATTTATACATTTATTTATTCATTTATTTATTCGTCTCTCATTCATACAAACCTATTGGTTCAATTACATGGACAAATTATAAATTGAAAAAATTTACACATAATAACTCACATGAGTTGATATTGATAGATAGTAAATAATGGACTATACTAAACTGAACTATAGATTACTTTTCTATCTAGGACCATAAAAGCAATCTTGATTTACACTGAGGATATTACAAGGTAATCAAAGATCTTCCTTCGAAAAGATGATCTAGATTGCGTCCACTCTAGATCGACAAATAGATTCATATTATTAGCTAATTTCAACATGGCTATAAGACGGGATCTGTTAGACAGAGAAGGTATATTGAAAATTGTTACAGAGCAAATTCTACGAGGAACATGAAATCTAATTAAAGATAATATGTTAGGTGCATTGATATTATTATTTACGATATCATATAGGAACATTATCAAACTGATTTGGCATCTATTATCCAAAGACATTATTTTGAATTCATTTCTCAATTGTGAAGTTCTTACTGTATTGAAATCTGGCCATATATGGTATTTTTTAAAATACAAATATCTAAGAAATTTATTCTGAATCTTTTCAATTCCTTTTAAAGCTGTCTGATATTCCACACACCAAATAGTAGAGAGGCATATTCCAATTTAGTTCTAACTAAAGTGTAATACAATAGTTTGATTGTGTTCAAGTTGGTAGAATTTGCACTTTGTCTAATCAAAAAACCTAACATACGATTAGCAGATTTGATTACATTTCTTATATGACCTGCAAAGGATAAGTTATTATTATAAGTAACACCTAATTCTTCAACCTCCGAGCATTTCTTGAGTACCTATACTGTTATCCATCATGTATTCAAAATCAACAGGATATTTCACACGTATTATTGTCATTGTGTAGCACTTGAAATATAATTTGTTTATACGACTCCATTGTAAAACACTATGTATATCCTTTTGTAACATTATACAATCCCTCACCGTTTGTATATTTCTAAATATCTTGAAATCATCCGCAAAAAGTAAACATTCAGAAAACCGTAGGGCTTCAGGTGAATCATTTATAAAGAGTACAAACAATAAAGGACCCAGATTGGAGCACTGCGGCACACCTGAATCAGCATGATATTTCCCAGATGTGTTGCCATTATGTCTTACAATACAATGCCTATTTCTCAAGTAGCTCGCAATTAGAGTTTATAGATACACCAAATCTATTCAGTTTATTCAGCAACACATCATGATTGACCTTGTCAAAAGCTTTTTTGAAGTCAGTGTACACAATGTCTAGTTGAGCTCTGTCCTCCAATGATTTATAAGCTTTATTGGTAAATGTAAATAGATTTGTGTTCACAGATTTGTTTTTAACAAAACCATGCTGCTGTGGAACTATATATTTATCGACGTGATCATAAAGAACTGTATATAATATTTGTTCGAATTACTTAGCTGGAGCACACATTATTCAAATTGGCCGATAATTTTCGATGTTCATTTTGTCTCCTGCTTTGTGAATTGGTTTAGTAAAAGATGTTTTCCATACCGATGGAACTTTATTGGTTGATATAAATAAATTGAATACATGAAGAAGTGGTTTTATCAGCCACTCAAAGCATCCTTTGAGTATATAAGGAGGTATTCCGTCTACGCCAGCATCTTTTTTGGGCTTCAGTTTTTTCACCGCATTATTAAACTGTAGCTCTGTTATATTTAAATTATTTATAGTGCACGTATCGTTCACCGCAAAGTCGTTATCCAAATTATTCAATTCATATTTTGATTATTTGTTTGTATCATACACGGATGCAAAGAATTTTGCGAATGTATCAGAAAATTTGTCGTACTCAATATCTTCATCTTTATAAATGTAATTTCCTAGATTTACAGTACTATCGCGTTTTGAATTTATATAATTCCAAAAATGATTCACATCAGTTGATACTTCATCTTCCAATTCAGAGATATTTACGTTTTTCTGATATGATCATATTTTTCACCTGCCTTCCAATATATTTGGATTTTTCTTTATAAAAATCACTTACTGAAATCAACCTTCTATATTTATTCTATATTTATTAATCAACCTTCTATATTTATATACCATATTGAAAATTACCTCTTGCAATCATTATTCATTGTATATTTAGGAATAAATGTCTCTACTATTTCATTCCAAATATTATAAAATACGCCTAAAGCATGTTTTACATTACTTTGATTGAAGATGTCATTCCAGGTTGTATCTCTAATTCTTTTACTAAGCAATAGGAAGTTCGCCTTTTTGTAATAATTATATTCATTCTCTCTAGGATAGTAGGTATTATCTCTCTTGCTATTACTATTTATTTTACAACTGATATTCAACATTGGGTGATACACGTCTTCTAGCACTTTTGGTTAGCAATCCCTAACGACTATACACTCATTCATATTGTCTTTTGAAGTAACTACCAAGTCTAACGTTCGTCCTTGGAAGTTTTTTACATTATTCAATAATTCGTAATTATTGAACGCCATAAACTCAGTTGAAATATTCACTTTATCATTATTCGTATCAAAATTTGAATGCATTCCAGTAATTTCAGTTAAAATCACCCAATATATAAGTTTTCGTTATATCTACTATATTGTCTTGCATAAAATCTATCGCTGATTGATATACCAACAAATCACTGATTGGTGGAATAAACAGACAGCAAAAAGTAAGTTTTTCCCCACATTTTTCAACTCTTGCAATTAAAGCTTCAAAATTAGTTCTATTTCTTACGATTCTCATCCTCCTATTGGTAGTATAGGTAATCATGAGAGAAACTATCAAGATAAATAATATGACGATAGCTTTACTAAATTTCATTTATTTTCTAAATATAAACTGCTTATGCAACTAAGAGAATGTGACAGGTTTGGTTTGGGGGCAAGACGGGGCCTGAAATGTGGGCCTATCACATTTTACAATAATACAATACTTATAATACCGTGACAACTTTGATAAATATGATGTCTCTTTGGTATATTATTACACATTTTACAGAAGTAAAGAAGTGAATTTGGAAAATACAATTCGTAATTTTAATTTTCAGTTCGGTTTGTAACTCGTATGCACGAAAGAAAGGTACCACAATATTTGGATAAAACCAGTTTCTCGAATAATCATTGTATGACTTTTATTCAGACAACGAAAAAATGTATTTCCTGAAGATGATTATCCCTTTCTCTCGACTGCATCATTGTAATGTGATTTTATCACCGCAGTAAAACTAGAGAAAAATTTCAAAATTTTATACAAAACATGATTCGATTGGAGTACGTAATTTTTTCTGACTAGTTCATATAAATATTAATATTCTGTATGTCCAGGTTTTTAAGTCAATCATAATATTCAGGTGCACAATAAACAAAATCTAATAAATAATTTGAATAATCTGAAACGAATACACAGTAGTCTTCATCGATTCATTACAAATTATTTTATAACGTGCTCTATAACATAAAATCTAAAACATTTCTTTGGTGTGTCTTAAGTTATTAAAATATAAAATATACATACAATGAAAGTACATTGAAAGTTGTATCGATAAATAAATAACATAAATTCTTCGTAGTTTTCTGAGAACAAAAACTTTACAATATAGTTAGGTATTTGCAACATCCTGTCAATTTGTCTAAAACACAAAAAATTTACAAAAACAAATATTCACTTAATCTATCGGGGGAGTTCATATCTACACAAGCACAATTTGTTGTCCATCAATCAACTGACATAAAGAACTCTTATTATTGGAGTTCTCATTATGTGGCGACATCTGACAGTATCTTTCTCAACCCAGATTCAAATCATGGGAGAAAATATTTTCCGTTTTCAAACATGCGCTACCACTTTCAGTGGGCGAGTTTGCCGACGCGAGTGAGTTTGCTCTAGTGGCCGCTAGAGGACTCCGACTGCTTTGGTCTGTATTTGGATTCGAATTCACACCATCTTGTGGCTCACCGTTGTTGGTGAGAATATCATTGTTGCTGTAATAGTAAGCTGCATCTGGAAAAAAATAAAGGAATGATTTATTGAGTCACGGAGGTCTGTGATTGAATAACTCGAATAAGTAAATGAAAGCGAGTGAGAATAATATGAAAATTATTTGTTGAGACATAGAAGAATGAAGAGAAAGACAAGGAGTTTAGTTTCAACCAACCGTTGATTGATATATTACGCTTACGCTAAGCGTAATATATCAATCAACGGTTTCAACGCAGTGTATTAGAGAACAATGATTTTAGAACAAATTTCGGTCTTGCAGACCCGACCCGTTCCTCTGTGTAAGTATTTTATGTATATATCTGAAATAATTTCATCCATATTTTTGTAATCAACAACTTGGTACTGAACTTTTGATGGATAACATGAAGAGCAGAGTGAACACCCAATATCCGCCAAGATAAATTCGACAGCTTGCAGCTAGAATCAGTGGTACTGTGTTGGTGGATCCTGTCTGAATTTAACAAAATGAACTTGTATGATGTGCCTTCTGTGAAGATCGGAAAATAAAATAGACATGCGATTTTATAAAAGACATATATGCCTGAAACATTCGGTATCTGTTCATCAAGTATGTACGGCAAAATTCTCGGAATATTTGTTGAACATGGTGTTTATTGCAACGATACCAAAAATGCATACCATTCTTATTTCAATTCGAGTTTTTCTATGTTAAGAAAATTGGATATTATTCCCTGTTCCTTTCATTACTATTCGCCCATATTAATGATTTATATAACACGTTATCAAAAATAAAATGTTATACAGAAAAATTTTATTTTTCTCCTTCTGCATGGGTATATCAGACCCAACGCGTTCTTTGCTGTAAAAACTAATGACGCGTCTCCTGCAGGATCAAGTATAGATATAGGTAACCTCTCGTTCAATAGCACGTCATGAGCATTCGTGTTTATCATTATATGATTATAATTTCAACGTATTATTACAATTATTATTATCTCAAATATTATTATTACCTACAATTATCATTAAGGAGCATTATTAGCATCATAATTACCATTATCAATTTATATTATGTCATTGTTGTTATATTAAATCAAACAAGCTGTCCTGTCCGGCTTCACATGTTTGTCGATGTTTGGTGTACCCAGTTAAAAAAAAGGAGACATTTGTCGCAGTCGTTCTGAGCGCGTACCTACAGTACATTTTTTTTGTAATTTTATTTAATTCTTATGAGTTCAGCTACCTCCATTCTCTCAGTATCTTTCATATTCTCTTTGATGTTTTACGTATTAGAAATATCAACCCAATCGGTCGAGCCGTTTAGTAGCTGTCGTACCGACGTACCGGGACCAATTGAATTTTCAAATCATCTAGAAAACCATCGAAATTGCCATATAAAATTACAACCTAATCGGTTCAGCCGTTTAAAAGTTATGTGAAAAAGATAAGTACGGAGGGAAAATTCTTACTATCTACCCGTTGGCTTATCACCCTTTTTTCCGTAGGAATTATGTATTTTCCCGAGGTAAAAAGTAGCCTGTGTTCATCGGATATAATGTTGGCTTCTGATGGTGAGAGAATTTTTCATAGTGGTGTATTAGTTTCGGAGCCTATTCAATGCAAACAATCATATTGACAAAACGAACAAAACTTTCTTCTTTATATTATTAGTACATAGATATACATCCTCACGGAAAGTGTGTATATACTGTGCTATATCAATTATACATTCTGATGAATTCGATTATTTCGTTGAAGTTCCTTTTGACCTTGACCTCAAAACAACTAAAATGGTTACACGAGCTCGCCCTTGCTCAAGTATTAATATTCAGTCGCCAAGACTCCGCTCCGCTTTGAAAAATTTGGTGCGAAAAATTACAAGTTGTATTTAAAAACAAAAAAAAAAACGTTACATTGTGCCAAAGTAACCCCACGATGGATCTACATTGTTTTCGTTTATATTTCTGTTCGAGTGCCTATATAACCCCAGTGTGTAATTTTTTTCCTCTCAAACGGTTTATTATGAAAAACCCATTTTAATGAGAGGTTATTGGTATGACATAATTTTATTGCTTTTCTTGATTTTTCTCAAATTGATTCGATTATAACTACAGCGACTAGTCTAAAAACATTATTTATGAATGAGAAGCACTATTTGAATAAGTTTCAAATGTCAAAGGAATAGATTGTACGCCACAAGTCTCAAGCTATTACAGAGTTTACTTGAACCTTTTTCATTGTTATTTTTTCAGCTACAATACTCACTGTTTACTTACTGAGTAACCCGCTGGTTGCCGTACCATAACCATAGGTTCCGTATGCAGCTCCATATTGACTGTAAGCTGTGCTGTAAGCGTAGTCAGCTCCTGGTACCATCGTGGTTCCAGCTGCAAGGAAACGAAAATAAATTAGGAATCGCTGGAAATTATGATTTTGACACCAGGGTTTAATTGATGATATTGATGTTTTTAGGTGAATAATTATTGAGTGAACTCAGCTTTGAGAGAGGAATCGGGTAAGGTGTGTCGAAGGTCAAGTGATCCGGGAGTGCCATATCTATTTCCACTGGACCAATGTCATGCACTCAGTATACGTTTTCCTAAACTTGATATAATACATTATAATATGATAAACAAAGACAAAAAACACTGGGCGGAAAAATTTTGAGCGAGTTAATGAAAAACGAAATAGTTGCAGTTCAATTCATTTTAACTCATCTTCATTCTTCCTCATCAACTGAATTTGAATGAAATTAGAGGGATAGATTTTGTAAATGAGCATGGTTCTACCAATAATTATATAATTTTTTATTGATTCGTCAGACAATCAGACAAACAAGGTTAACTATTTCATTCTGTTTTAGGTTGACATTGCTCAATATAGAAAACTCATGAGAGACAGGAGACGCCTGGAAGATATTTTCGAAAAATCAAACTAGATGTTCTTAGAAAAATTTCAAGACACCTAGAAGAATTGATAAAAGCTCCGTACTAGAGGCATCAATTCTTTGTTGAAAATCCTCACTCAAACAATAATTGGTAAGTACCTACCTACATCCTAGAGCAGTTATACATATAGCAATAAAAGAGCTTTATAATATCATCGATCAAGGATGATATTTCATATCTTCTAGATGAACCAAGTAAGTATTGATAAATGTATAATATTTCATATTGCTTTAAATTTATTTTATTTTGTTTCAGGTCGACATTGCTTATATGTAAAATTCATGGAAGACAACTCCTTGGAAAATCATACTGAATATTGGCGGAAAATCATACTGGATACTTGTAGAAAAATCCAAGACACCTCAGGAAAATGATTTTTTGTAGAAAATTCAGAATGAGTTTTAACCAACTTTTCATTTCCCTCAATGCTTTCAATGCTGCAGGAAGATTATCTTGGATTACCGAAATAATTCTTTCATTGATAATTATGGAACTATTTTATACTTTTATAGCCTTATTCAGTCAAGTGTACAGAACTTCCTTTTGAAATGATGGACATTTTTTCAAATAAAATAAACACATTCTATGACATGATAAGAAATTTCTTTTATCATTATAATATCTGTTGTCGGAAAAAACAAATTCCATCACAACTAAAGAAACTTCCTTCAGAAATACCATGATTTCTCTCAATATTAAAGAATCCATATTGGGATTTCAAAAGGAATGAGTTATAGTGTCAACAGGAATTTTCATTGGCGCTATAGCGAGGCTATATAGAGGCTTCTGTAGTATTATGTGAAGAAGGGTAAAGTGATTTGTCTAATATTTACCTAGTATTTCCTTCCTGTGAAAAAACTTATATCCCGACTTGACGATCCAAAAAAAAAATTAAAAATAATAAATATATGTAGAGGAATACCCGAAATTAGGCAACATGGCGGAATAGTGTTGCGACGCGCCATTGTAGAATTGCAGCACTGTGAGGGCGGCTGGATCGAGGGAGCCCGTGTGGGAGGCCGGATAGCTCCCTGACGCGGGGAGCGCCAGCGGCAGCCCGTGGGAGGCACCGCCCACGTAAGTTTCGGTTCATGTCGAAAGTAACAATTCCTTGGAATGGGCTCATTCGTTTGGATTTCAAAACTTTCACGAAGAAAAGTTTTCTTATTCCGATTTTTTAATGTATCTCAAATTTTAACGTTCTCTTGCAGTTTTTTGTATTTAACAAATTTTTTTTTAGTGCAGTACACTTATGACTTTTATGGATCTAAAATTGTTAAAATCGACCAGAATAAGCTTCATACTGTATTGATGTGCTGAATCTGAGGCATTTTGTGAAGAGTTGCAGTATATCAAATAATAAAATATTGGTAGGTAAGTGAATGTACTTATATAAAAAGTTCTTCATTTCAAAATGCAGGCAGGATAGAGATTCAAGAGAATGAAGAGATTGCTAAAGAAGTTTATTTGGTTCAGATACCTTTAAAGTCATTATATCTTCAGGAAAACCGTTCTTAATACTCTTAAATTTTTACGAAATTTCTGTAAAGTTAGATAATGTGACTTAGCAAAACTGTACTAAACTCTAGTTAGGTACCTACTTTGGGTAATTTGATAATATTTCGATCGAAGGATTTGGTATCATTTCAGTACTGAAGAAATCAATTTGAATAAATTTCGCTTCAAAATCTCGCCAATACATCAACTTCGCATCAAACAAAACAGAAATTTTAAGCGGGATTACTGCATCGAAAATAATTAGTAAATGAAAATTAGTAGTTTGTTGAAGCTACTGGAATAAAACAGTTTTGTCGAAGTTGATATTTTTTATTATTACAAAATTCATTTCGTAGTATGAAAATTCAAAATCTAGAAGTTGCAGTAGAACGTTTGAATTTTAGACACATTTATTATTTGTGAAATCGGAATTGAAACAACTTTCCTTTGCAATCCTTTTCGAAATTTCAACGAATGAGCTAATTTTCAGTCATCAATTTGAGATTTTAGTTCTGTGACCTCCACCAAGTTCATATTTCATTATTTTCAAAGCAGAAGTTCAGGCCCGAGCCGAATTTTAAAATGATTAATTATTAAAAGTATTTCCCACCTATACCAACTATCTGAAAAACTGACAAAACATAATATCGCGACCAAAAAAAAAAACAAATAATAATACCTGTGGTGGAATACCCGAAATTAGGCAACATGGCGGAATAGTGTTGCGACGCGCCGTTGGAGGGTTGCAGCACTGTGAGGGCGGCCGGATCGGGGGAGCCCGTGTGGGAGGCGGGCTGGCTCCCGGACTCGGCTGGGAGCGCCAGGGGCAGCCCAGGGGAGGCGCCATCCACGGCCGCCCCCAGGCCTACTACGCCGCTGTACGGCGAGCTAGTCTCGGCTACGCATGCAAACACATCAATTAGCACACAAAAAACGAGCAGAAAACTAAAAATACAATGCTAAAATGTCCGGTGTCCATCAGAAAAGAGTCGAGAAGGAAGGCTTTTTGAGGTTTTCTGATCATTACGAACTATACGAGTGATATTGGCACATATTGTTGTTTCAACGAGTATAAAACTTCATTCAGGGTACATACAATTAAATTGAATGATAATCCTGATGACAAAACAATTCTGACATTATTATCAACAACTTCATAAAACAAGTGACATACTGAGTGTGCTGAAAACGCTTGATATTTCCAACACCCCCTCTCAAAAGTTCCAGGCATGATGAAAATAGACTGGTGTAACCACTTGTCAATTGTTTCTTTCCAAAACGTGTAGACCGCGAAACACCGTAGCAAGGCCGCACCGGATTGACTGTAGATGGCGTAGGGAACATCGTGCCACATATAATTCACAGATATAATGAAAATTTCACGTCTTTTTCATCGAATCAATCACTCTTTCTCAATGTTTTTAAATTACGAATCAATATACGTAAATGTAAACAACAAAACAAAACAACCATTGTGTAGCAAGATCACTTCGGGAACAGCGCCATCTAGCGTTAGTTTTGCGCGGCCTTACTACGGTGATAGAATTCGACATAATCAAGTAGGCCAGAGGTCTACAAAAATGTCTAGGGTTTTGTAAGAGGGAGCTATTTCACCATACATATATCCACCTTTGTTCCAGTTAACTCTGTTCTCCACAACTCCAAGGCCATTTCTGAAAAATGTGTGCTTTGGTCCATGCAGAGACTTGGTCAGGATATCTGCTATCATTTCAGTAGTGGGTAGGTAAACAATATCAATCAAATTCATTTTGCAAACTTCTCTCACAAAATGATTTCTGATGTCGTTGTGTTTGGTTCGAGAATGAAATACAGGGTTCTCAAACAAACGTTTTGCTCCTTGATTGTCGCTGTATATGACGATCCTTTCTTCTGGAATCTTCAGTTCCTTCAGAAAGTTCATTAAATATACTGATTCCTTCGAGGCCTCAGTAAGTGCCATATATTCGGCCTCGGTACTTGACAATGCAACTGTTCGTTGTTTTCGTACTTCCAAATTATTAGCTGAACCTGCCATCTTGAATATATATCCGGTATACGATCTTCTGTCTTGAATACAAGATCCCCAGTCTGCATCAGTATACCCCGTGAGTTTTTCGCCCGTTCTCTGGAATTTCAATGAATAGTCCACTGTGCCATTCAGATAACGAAGAACCCTCTTTGCTGCTTTTCAGTGACTTATACCATAGTTGGTATTGAATTGACTCAACATACTCACTGCATATGCTATGTCAGGTCTTGTGGAGACCGCTAGGTACATAAGAGATCCTATCAAGGACTGGTAAGGATACTGCTTCATTATTTCTACATTCGGATTATCTGGCAATGTTAACTTTACATTTGCGTCGAGAGGTGTGCCTATAGGTTTACTGTCTTCCATCCCAAATTTTTCAAGAATGTTCTTTATGATTTTTTTCTGACACAATGAGATTTCTTCAGTTTCAAAATGTTGTCTGAATTCAATTCCAAGACAATAATTTATCGTGCCAAGATCTTTCATTTCGAATGCATTAGATAACTTCATTCAATTATAGATTCTATAGGCCACAATGACTTTTTTTATTGTAAATCAATTCTACGGTTCTATAAGATTGAACTGCTCCAAGAGAGAAGAATTCATTTCGATTTGTGTTTCATTTACAAAATTATTATTGGATTGAATTCAATTGATTTTCTTTTATAGAGGAATCCTTATTGTAAGTACCCATTTAACAAATTAAACCTTATATTCTTCGTTGATCGATGTGAATATATGGAATAGAGGTTCGTTATTTCAAAAATAGGCGATTTTGGAAAATACTCCAGAAACACGTAAGTTTTCATATTTGAAGCCACATCTCATGATGTGTGATTTGTTTCATCAAGAACTCAAATTTCGTTGAAATTCTGTCAAAATTGTGTACATGATTTCTCGAATATTTTTGATATTTTCGTGACGTTTTGTGTTCACTGAATTAAATGTCTTCTTATTTTTGTTAATTCAGAAATAAAATACCTTTTACACTCTACACTCCATAACCATTGAACTGTTTGATGATATTTTCATAAATATAATCGAACTTTGAATTCTAAATACTATGGAGATACAGAGATGAAATAATAACTTAAAGGAAAATACATAAGAACGGAGACTGCACAAATAATCACTGGACTATACTTTAAAACGTTAGAGGAGAATTTCAATCTAATTGTATATATATGGAAACATTGCCAGTTTTGGTGCACCCTATATGGAGAAATATTCTTATGATCATACTATTGGATACACGATTAAATAAGGTGTCACAGGTCTCCGGTTTGTATTCGAAAAAATCGTTGATCTTCTTCAACTGCCTAGAATTATTATTGAATATAATTGATTTTCAGATCTCCGAACAGGTACGTTTACTTTTGATGGAGGATGATTGAAAGGGTGAATTTGATATTTTTTGCCCTACACGAAATACAAAAACTTCTGGAATCAGCCCTATATACAATTTGAAAAAAAGGTTTATGATCACTTATCAGAAGTGTTAGAAATTTTTTTAACTATTTAATTCATGCATTGCAAAGAATTCATTTTCAAACTCTGGTTTTGAGTCGAAATTCATCGTTTTTGAAAAAACTCAAGGAAAGTCTGAGAAGGATTTCAAGTGCCTAATTTTTGTTGCCTACTTGTGTACTTCGAACACTCTATATGACAGTCTCCGAAAACCATATAATATACCATAGCTTTTTCTGATTCAATTTTCAATGTCGATTGATTGACAACGTGAGTAAATATTCCAATATTCCAATTTGACATAGATTTCTCTATCCCTACTCATTGAAGTAATATAGTTAGTTCCACACACTTCATAGAGAAATAACTCTTTCCTGAATGGACACACGGTTTCAGAATACATCATGCTTAGTTTAAAAAATGGAATCGGTTATTGAAACAATACATAATGAAAATAAGTAATATACATAAACAACCAAAACTATTTCAATCTTGTTTTCAATCCAAGAAAATGATATGAGCGTCGTCAAAATAATAAAGTACAAAACAATTTTTTGTCTGATATCCATGCTAATATTATTTCTTTGAGATATCACCAGGTATCATGAAACGAAGAATTCGTTTATTTTGTTTCAATAAGTGGTTTCAATGAAGATATAATAAAAACGAATGGATGATATTGAAAATATTATCGAAATAAGATCTACCACATTGATTTACCAGTCAACAAAATTGAATTCTGCGACAAAATTATGCAGATACATTAAATTGTTGTTCCCATAAATTTAAAAGATTGTTCATTTCCAGATTAATTTTTATGGAAACTCCTTGAGGTCAGAACATTATCAAAATCGTTAATTCATACAATAAACACCATGCATTATCCAACAAGAAATGTAAACAATAACAACTACCTCGAATGCAATAACATGGGAAAAAGAGAAGGACATAACGCAGATTTCAATAAGATATAGTGCCTATTGAATAAATTATTCAATGCCAGATGATGCAAGATCAGATCAAGCTCTAAAACAATTGCCATACATGCGAAAATCCTCATATACATAAAAACATGCAATATGAATATGAATACAGTAGCGCTACGATCCTGCTAGGCCTAGCCAATTCAGAATCTCTCCTCACATTTTTAGTATTGAGGAATGCGATGAGTCAAGCAAAATGTTGGGACCGATTCTTTGAGTTCCTAGATAGGAACATTGTTTATGTCAGCTCATATTTCTACCACTCAAGATGACAATGCAATAAGGACAACTGGACCTATATCTCTCGATTTTGACTCGAATGAAGCATCAGTATGATAACTACGGTCGATATAAATAACTCATAGATTTTTAATGATTATCGGAAGCTTCAAGCAATTAAGTCATCTACCCTCCACCGGAAATGTTTTTCCATCCTACACCAGCTCGAATTCGACATCTTCTATGGTTTCATCGACTTACCAGAATGATATGGGGACATTGATGGGTCCATTATTCTGGTGGTTTCGATTTTCATTTCGTGCATCGTTATCGGAGCCAAAGGTGTTAACGAATTGGAACCTGTATTTAATATGCCACTGATAATTTCATTGATGAACACTTTTTTTCTCATTGAGATAAGATTTGAAATGAAATAGGGAAGTAGATTTTTTCTGAATGGTATAGTACAAATTACAATCATTGTTGTTTGGTCCCTAGGATTTGTGTTTAGTTAGGATTTATGATTTCGGTAATCAAGGAAAAGCTCCTTCATCCTAAATATCAGTAAACTAGAATGGTCAATGTTTCGTCTCAATTAAGTATGAGGCTTACGGCCAAAAATTATCCTGATTTTATGCTTTTGTCATTCAAAGTATGTATGAATACATATCTTCCATCTTCATGATAGTGAAGGTACATGCAAGTGGATAAAAAAATCCGATAAATTACGTTACCCTAGCAACGCTAGCATTTACTGGTTGTTTATCGAATGTTGCGCGTCGCATCAGTTTGACAATTGTAAATGCAAAAAATAGAAATAAACAGCAAATGATTTTCCAGTGATAATGTATAGATTTGGAAATATTGGCGAGGAAGAAATAGTAAAGGAGATTGAAAAATCACTTCAGATGATACAAACAAAAAGTATAATGTCTCCATGTGTAACCAGTTCAGCGAGTTTTGTAAACAACGAAAATTGAAAACCGAACAGTCAGTGAAAAATGTGGCAGGAATATTGATGAACTGGGGCTTCAATATGAAGAAACACAGTGGAGAAGGTTCAAAAGGATACCTACGTGGTGAAAACAATGTAAGTATACGCTCTCGTGATTCTTTCAGAACAGCTCGCGTTAAATTGCCAATGAAAGTAAGTATTCGAAAACAACAAGGGAGCAAAGGTGTTGATTTTATCCCACGTGTGAAGTTTGATCACACATGGGAGAAAATGAACCTTTGCTCCCAAGATATACACCGTGTCCCAGCTGAAATGTCCCTTCCCCTGTAAAAAATCAACCGTGCGATCGAATGACTTGAAATTTTGTCACCGTGTATATTTGATGATGTTCACTCGAAATATGCTATTGAATGAATCGTAGGTATACAGGGTCACACCGAAGTGCACCTCAACTTGCTTATTTGAATAGGGACACCCAGTATATTATTCCATATTCCAGTAGAGTTCATCATTACCAATTCATCGATGCCGGGTTTTATGGGATTTTTTAGACGACTACGAAGATATGGCAAAAAATAAAATGATTCAGTAAAAAATTCATATGATTAGATTTCATCAATATAACACGATTGAAATCGAATGATGGGTGTCCTGCACATAATTACAGACCCGTGAAGGATTATCTTGTCTCGATGGTGATAGCAACCGGCCAGCTCGGTCGCCAGACCTCATCCCACTTGATTTTTATTTGTGGGGCTACTTGAAAATCACAAATTTATGCGCACAAATTCATCGCAACGTGATACATAGGGTCACAATGAACGTTATCAAAAGAGCTAGGAAATGTTTGTAGCAGTCAATCGTGTTATATCAATAAAATCTAATCATATGATTTTTTTATTGAATCGTTTTATTTTTTACCATATCTTCGTGGTCGTTTGGAAAAATCCCATCAAAACCGGCATTGTTGAAGTTGTAATAATGAACTCTACTCGAATATGGAACAATATACTGCGTGTCCCTATTCAAATAGGAAAGTTTGAGAGCTTTTCGGTGTGACCCTGTATACCTACGATTCATTCAATAGCATTAGCAATTGGCAAGGTGACGATTCCGATACGGCACCTGGTGGGCAAATTTGAACCAGTTTAGGACGTAATTCAAGGTCATGTTTGTTATTGTGTTCAGTGGGTTTCGTATTTTATGAATACCATTCAACAAATTAGTCAAATTACGTTAATTTTCTCTTCTTGCGTCTCTTGAGTACAAGACATGAACTTTATATCAATTGCCTAATCAATTCTATATTATTTTATAAATTAGTATCAACAAATCTCTGATAATACGCGAAATCAACTGTGTTTGGACTTTGGTTGCTGGTTGAACTAGTAGAAGGTTCCAATGGATAAATGTAGGACTTATAATATGTCCTCTAATATGAATTTCCTGCACTCAAGAAGTCTTTTCTGATAATGAAAAATCAGTTCAGTTGAATGGAAAAAATGGATAAACGTTGAGAATCCAATATGAGTTTGAAAACTGGATTTATGCTGCTCCAACAGAAACTTCCTACCTTTCTTCAATTCATTGGTCCATTAATGATAACAATAAGGTAAATTTGTGATTCATTGATATATTTATTACTGATGAATAACTCTTATTTGCAGTGCCTATCTGAGAGAGAACATGATTGAAATGATCAACAGTTCATACCTATTTTGTTTATGGGGAAATATCTCCAGGACTTGGAAAAATAAGTATGGTTGTTTTTCTTTCAAATATTTTTGTAAGAAAAATGCTTCAATGCCTTGACTTTTGAACTGCAATGCACAAAGCTGGGCAAGAAAAAAGACATTATGAACATGTGCAGGTGGGTAATTTATGGTTTTATTTGTAATGCTTGACTCATATAAAAATCTTGTTCATGACATCCTGCCTAGGCCTCCATAGATTCCTATTTTGTAGTATCATCTTTGTAGTAAAATAGCCAATGCAGATTGCATGTACTTCCCAAATGATTAAGTTGAAATACAGCTCCCAATTACATTCATATGAGCAAAAACAGTAGCATATTTTATAGATATATAATAACACTGGTACAAGCAGGTCATTGTAGGTAGCTTACTTCATAGCTTGAATGGAATCATTGAACATACATTGAACTCATTGAAGTGACACAATCTATTTCTATTTGAATATTTTGATGGTGTAATAGCTAATAGATATGGTTTGTTTATAGTAGGTACTAACATTTCTTCAATTTTTCAGCAGGGGAGGAGTTGCCATCCAAGGTATTTTACAATTGAGTGCAAATAGTTACACAAATTGAAACCAAAACCCAGATTCCTTGGAGTTGAAATCAAGTTTTTAAGGAGATATCACAGATTATTTGGGTACTTGAACATATCCATGACATTTCAAATTGTATCTTGGAAAAATGTATCCATAATTTTACTGCTTGTATGTTATTATTAGACTGTATTTATTCCTAAGTAAAAGTTCTACTTTTTTTTCTGTTTTGTAATGTTTTATTGTAGGTTTTCAAAATTCATATTTCAATTCCACAACTACCTCAATCAACACCCCATTCTTTTTTGATGCAATTTCAAAGTTTCACTTTATAATCTTTACTGATTCCTCTTAAAATAGGTACCTACCAGGTAGATACTTACTTTTGCTCATTGTTAATTCATTTCTACATATATGAAAGTCCTGATTTCAAAATCATTCATAATTGTAAATTTTTATGAAAGTATCTTGTAAAATAATTCATTGAAAAACAGTAAACATGAGCACTGAGGGAAGAAGTATACTGGAAGATCCATCTATTTGTAGGTACTTCTTTCTGGACTTCTTTGGAGTGGCATAAGTACAGAAAAACACATGTTATGTAATTCTTTCATTTTCGAAAATTATTATCAATTCAGTTCCAAAATATACAAAACATAATGAACTATACAAATTGATGATATATATTTTCAATTAGATGAATTTAGGATTACAAAATGATATCAAATCACAAAATTTATGATGATATACTGTGTAAATACATTAACTGAAATCCTAGGTCATTTGATCAATGTTTTATGTGGTGGAATTCCAAATCATTCAATGATTTCATCAAAATGGTATTAAAAAACGAGCATTAAAAACTCAGTCTAGGATGCCACCTACCACAACTCTAAGTATATTAGGAATATTCACATTATTTAATTCACACACATGGTACATAGGATCATGACAATTTGCTGTTATTGCAGTGGAGCACCATAATATATGAGAGGTATGGGAGTTGCACTGTAAACAATCCTCAAAGCCTGGAAGTAATATTGTACTATTAAATCCACAGTAATGTCAGGATGCCTTTGGTGTTGAATTATTTCTTGGTTTAGAGTCATTAGGGCTGGTTGCTGCTGATTTCTATTGTATGGATCAATTGCACATGATTCTGATGGCTATAATATTTAGCACAAAATAGTCCAATAGGTTAACACATTGTTTAGGGATGGTTTTCAATATGTTCACAGAAGGCTGTTCACTGTTGAAAAACTCCACTCCTGGTATCACCAAATTTGTGGTCTGTAGGATCCTTTTGCTTGAAGAGTGGAGTTATAGAGGTATAATGGTGAATATATCAGCTTCTGATGATAGTGGATATGCTTGTGATTTTTGATATCCCATAAAGCTGTCCCACAGAAATGCACTGGTTTGAAGAAAGCTCATTGGTCCACGATTCAGTCAGTAGGTAACAGTTATTTTCCTCACATTACGATGAAACAGTATGATCCAACAAAAAATATTATGATTTCATTAAAAAGTTCAACAATAAACACAAATAACACGATGAAATTTCAAGAAGAAAATGTATGCAAATCTCAAGATATTTTGTAAACAAACAACACACTCTTTGCCGCCATCTTGTTTTGAAACAGCGCCCCCAACGGTCGATCACCTTGCCAATAGCAATAGCATCAATAGCAATTTCAAGTCATTCGATCGCGCGGTTGTTTTTTTACAGGGGGACACGGTGTATACATGATTTTATTCAAGAACGCATAGATTTGACAGCGTCGTTCTTTAAATTGTGCTTCAAGCGGTCTATCTCTCGAGTCTCGATCCAAATCAATGTGTTACATGATCTAAGGTTACAAATGACATAATTTGAATCGAATCAATTTGACACTCCTGTCACATTGCATTTGTTCGATCGAGTAAGTTTGGAATATGATGAAGTATTTGAGATCATTGGAGTCCAAAAATAAAATTGTTATTTGTTTTATAGTAGTGATGGTGACACTGTTAAGGTACTTGCGGGTAGTACAGATTATATACGTATAATTATCTCTATACCAAGGAAGCAAGCTAAAACCAGTTCATTTCTTCTCCCACGGGAAATAATCTTTTTTCCTCCCATGGGAGTAAATGGACAGGTTTGTGTCTTCAAATGAGGGAGCAAACGCTCACTTTCCATGCAGTGGAGAGATAAAATATGATTCTCACCTAAAGATCCAGCAAGCGGAGGCGTATACAGGTTCTGTGACGTCGCCTGGCTCATCGTGTTGATGGTGTCGTAGATGTCAGACGCTGAACTGACGTTACCGAAGCCCGCATGAGTGTCATAGTAGCCGGATTGGCCTGTGGTGGTGCCCGCGCTGCCCAATTCTGACAGCAGCTTGTGTTCGTCTTTGATGCTCCATTTGCTCGACCAAAGCTGAAATGACAACACGATCGATTATGTGGCCTGAAGGATCATTATTATTGATTTTATTATGTTCAATCCTACTAAATCCTAGTCTCATTTCATTTTTATATATTTCATTATGAGTGCATGTGGATCCATTCAATAATTTATGTACCTCCATGTTATCCACCGGTCTATACCGGGTGACACAGGTTATCGGGCCACCCCTGTAACTTCTGCATTCGTCAACGGATTTTTCTGAAATTCGGTACAGTTATATAAGCAACTATTTCGGATTTGATCACATTAAAATCCAATATGGCGGACTTCCGGTTTTTCTGGAAATGCCAGCAATTTTGTTTATTCAAATGGAGCACCCTGTATATTTTTACATATTCAAGTTCAACAGGTCAAAACAAGTGCAATCTTGATGTCGAATGTCATTTATTCCACAGCCTACCTAGTTGAAAAATTATTCTAACTGCAAGGAAATTCATAAACTAGTCGTTGATTTTTGAATGTATACAATTTGTTACTGCACCGAAAAACAAAAATGATATGTCATTTTGTTCCTCAATGTATGTTCTAGAGAGACGGGTAGGTGGCCCATAGGGGTTCCATTTGAAAAAAAATAATTTTTGATCAAAAAGTGATGTGGCTGAATTGATTCCTGGATAAGTGACACAAAAAAACATTCTTCAGAAAAAAATATGTTCTTCTGTTATGTGTGACTCATTGTGAATAGTCTTGACCACATCTCATTTATCCACGAGGTAAAATGAAAAAACAATTTTAATTTAATTTTTTTCGAAAAGCTTGCACTTGTTTCGACCTGTTGAACTTGAATATGTAAAAATATACAGGGTGTTTCATTTGAAAAAACAAAGTTGCTGGCATTTCCAGAAATACCGGAAGTCCGCCATATTGGATTGTGATGTGATCAAATCCGAAATAATTGCTTATATAACTGTACCAAATTTCAGAAAAATCCGTTGACGAATGCAGAAGTTACAGGGGTGGCCCGATACCCTGTGTCACCCGGTATACTTAATTTATCGAATTTATTTATGTATCATGCTTTGTCAACAAAAATGTGTTCCTTCGACGATAATAGTAGATTGTTTTATTAGGATCAAAAGTGACACTTTGTTTGACAAGCGAATTTTGCATTTGCGAGGCGGAGCGTTTAGCGAAGCCGAGCGAAAGCAAAATTTGCGAGTCGAACAAAGTCACTTTTGATCCGAATGAAACATGCTATTTTTTCTGCAACCGAAACAATTGAGTTGAATGAACATGTGAAGTAACCACCAATGTCGTGCCATATGTATGCAATGCAACAAATATTGACAAATAATCCATGTGGTGAGAATATTCTACCTGCATTAACAGCAGGTTAGGTTAGGTTTTCTAGGATGTTCGAATTGTAGTTCCAATATGAATACAACCACAGAGTGACATATTTGTGTATGGACCAGGTGCTCTAATGGCAAATACCGTGCCAGTGCCAGCTATATAGGAACAAGACGTGGAAAATGTTAGGTTAGTGAGCATATCAACAATGATAATAGTGATTATTTATTCCTCTCCATACAACACTGTGTTTGACTTGATGATCAAAATGAAGCTGAACAATATCGTTGTTTGAGACAAAAAAACTATTGCTTGCCGTGATTATTCAAAAACAAGTTATCCATCCCGAGAATAACGAATGAAATACAGATCAAGCAAGTCTTTGAATCTTGGAGGTTTCCCTGATCAAAACAAAAATACTTAACTGAGATGTTTATAATTCCAATACTAAACTATAATAAAAGTGTATTTATATCTCCAGCATGGGTATGAAATGCCAAATCTGCTGAGATCGGAAACAAATCAGGTATGCGTCTCAACCCAAATAACCAACCGTCACAATGTTGTTTATTCTTGATGACTTCCAGCAGATCCTTTTTAGTTCCTAGGAGCTAAAGTTCAACTTTAGCTCCTAGGAACTAAAATTCAACTTTAGCTCCTAGGAACTAAATATGTTGCCTAGCAACATACCTATTTTTGTGTCAGTAATAGAAACGCCAATTTGAGAGCTAATTTTGGTATCAAAATAGACGACTTTTGTGTCGGTTGCAGAAAAAGTATATTTTTGATTGAGAAAGCCTGCTCTGGAGAAAGGAGTGTTAACTCAACAGGATAGTCCATCCGGCCGTATCCTTCGAAAGGGTGACCGACATGTTGTTTAACCAACTTGTGTATTGATGAAGGCGATTAATGATCGAGATATTTTAACGTGCGAGCAAAAGCGAGCGCGTTAATGTTCGATATCATTAATCGCCTTTTAAAATTCGAGTTGGGACTATATTTCTCATTTCTCCTGCAATGAAGAAAACTTAGTTCGCGAACTTATCACACATCCGTAAACTACTAAGAATCACCCAGTAGCCTTGTCACTGACATTGTGTTAGAAAACAGAAATCAAAATCGTTCCAGAAATTCGGAAGGGCTAAACGGTTAACGGAAAATCTTCGATAAAATCCATATTATGTTCTATACTTGAGTAATTGCATGAACTGTGAATGAACGCGGTGTATGTTTGGTTGCCTATGCTACAATCGTGCAATAATAGATGAATTGATCATTAACGATCAATTGAATAAATATCAATTTTACTTATTAATACGAGGTCGACGAAAAAATCTATTTCATTTAAAGAGGTGGCTATGTCTTTATCGACTTATGGTTCATAAAATGACGAAAACTACCTTGGTAGTAAAAAAACACTTTACGCCTCGAAAAGGAGTTGATAATGGTAGGTTTTATAGCTAGTAGTGGAAAAATACTTCCACCATTCCTGCGGATATTATGCAAGTATCATGTTTGTCGAAGGATGATGTGTGGAATCAACGATACATTTATCCCCGTGTATACTGTGGTGTTATTCAAGGTACCTAGAAAAGTTTGTGCCATCGAACATCGAAGATGGCATCAAAGCTTTCGCATCTGTGTGTATGAGTAATCTGTGGTAGATATATATAGGGTACAACTTGATTGTTTGCAATTTTTGATAAAATTATTGCCTTGAAGAGGTTTTTTTATCAGCATTCATACATTGATAATGATTGGATTTTGGATAAATTGAGAGGGAATAACATGCACTGATGGTATATCCTCATGTCCTCTGAATTCTCGTATTCCCGCCCTTAATTTTGAATTTGCAGATAATCTCATTGAACTTATGAATATGACTATTGAATATATTCCTATTGGCCTCGACACGATAATCTTTTGTATCGAAAATTGTCTTCTATTAACAAGTTTCATTGGCAACATTGAGGTTGCTATCCGTATACAGCCAATCTATGAGTGAGCTTCTTTGAAGAGAATCAGAGAGATTGTTATAGTTATAACAATCTGCGTATCGGTTGTTTATTATTATACAGGGTATAAAAGTCTCACACATTTAGATTCCATAAATTCCAGCAAACGGACAACATAAATATCGTAAACAGTAGCACAAATGTAATATTATGATGTGGATGGTTGAAACTCACATTCGAGTATAGCTGGTCTCCATTATAGTGTGATCGCTGCCTTTTGTAGTCGTCCTCCGGATGTCCATTCATATCTTTATTCTCATCTGTAAAGATAAAGTGTTAGAGTACATAATGGTTACATTGGGTCTTCTGGAATTTCGCACATTATAAAGTAAAATACTTTCATCTACTCAGTGAATCTAAAGTAGAAGTTTGCTTCTTCATTCCAGAAAAGGAAGCTTCCAGTTTCCTCCCACTGTGTTATTGAATTGATAGCCATCACATGATCATGGCACACACTATTTTTTCTACGACCAAGAAATAGTTAAGAGAAACAACAACTAATTGCAACTTATTTATAATTCAACATATTCCAACATCTCCAGGCAATGAATCGCTTGTATTGTTTGACGCAATGTGATTGAATTTCAGGTGAAATTAAATATCAAACAAATTGTCGAAAACATCATAGCCCACCTATTGATTATTTATTATATCCTGATAAATTAAGCACACTACAAAAGAGCCAGAAAAGTTTTCGATTGTCCAATTCCAAATATGAAACTGAAGGAATTATTGTTCTGATTCTAATTGCACCAAGAGAAGCTCCAATGATACTGTCAATATACCCATTGAGTTTCATTAAAATTGACAATAACTATTATAAGAACCCTGTTTTTTCGAAATGAAGTGAGGGGAAAATGTTTGTGTTTACTTTTATCGTTCGTAAAATTTCACAAAGAATCAATCCATGAACTATTTCTCACCTTTTCATTTCATATGATATTATATGCTAACCTTCAATCTCATTGCTGGACAGGTTGGGTATACGAAAGGATATTCACTTCGCAAATAATTTGATTAAAAATGTAATGGTTTCAAATTTATCTGTGAAAGAAACTGCATGTTGAAGAGTCTATAATGAGAGCGGAAAATATTAAAATTAGCCAACCTTATCGAAATTCATATCCTCAAGGAAGTTCATTCAGAAACGTCGTTAAAATGATCAACTTGAAATTCCGGAAGTCCATCCGGACCATCAAAAATGACTTTTCCATTACAATAAAAGCCGGGCAATTTACATAACTATTTTAGTCGTTAAACGAAATTGAATACGCATCAAAGGGCCAAAATAGGAATGAACATCGAGCAAAATAACAATAGCAAGTCCTCTACAACACTAGTCGATTTATATCAAATGTACCCTTCAAGCTCCCCATGGACCAGTCAATATAATAGCAATAACATCACCCCTGTGAATACAGTAGACCAAATAGAATATTGAACATGATGAAAGTCATAGGGTAACGTTTCATACGTTCCATGTATAAAACCCATGCTCATTCGAATCACATCGAAATGAATATCTTCAACAAACATTTCTCCAAAGTAGAATTAGATTTTGAAACACGTCTTATTATCTGAAGAAGGCATGCTTGGGAAATGTTTGTATTCTCTTGATGATTATTCTTATTTTTCATCTTTTGGGGCGCACGGAAGGGAATCCCTATAATGTTCGGGAAACATAGTGCATAACTTATTGAACTGCTGGAGCTTCGTCGTTCTAGAGACAAACCAGTTCTGGTAAAGATATGTTCGACATATCTCAAGGTTGACGACGGAGGGATGTGCTGACTGGGATTGTCGAGTTCGTATGACTGATATTGCCAGTGATTGAATGATAGCAGAGATTTCTGAAGAACATCTCCCGTGGAAGTATCTATGGAGAAGTGACAGGTCGCCTACTTTCCTACGGTGTTCCAATGATGTCAAAGAATTAGTGAGTGTTGCATCACCCACCAGGAGAATTGCTGTTCCCTGGATCGAATCTAAGAGCATCAGCGTATGTTTGTGTGCTGAACTCCATATATGGAAACAGTATTCTGAAACAAGTCGTGTCTGTGCTTTGTAGATCATGAGAAGCTGTTCAAGTGTGAAATAGATTTTCGCATGGAATAAGAATCCAGGTTTTTGTTAAGGATCTGACATGATTTTCTAATGAAAGAGTATTTCTTATGGAAATAAGGAGCATAGATATAGTGGACTTTGTGGAAAAGCGGTACCAGACATTGAAATATCAAGCATACTGTTTTGCTTTCGTAAAGAAAATAAAGGCTTGATATTTAGTGACGTTGAAACTTAAACTAGGTTGTTGGTTCCCCACCCTGTATAATTCTAGCAATATCTTCAATGACAGCGTTGACATATCTTCGTCGTGAGTTCTTAGTTTCCAGAGGATAAATGGGAATTCTGAAAAGAAACGCGGTATTCAGAGTATATATACAGGGTGTTTCGAAATTCGACCGACAACGTTTGACAGGTGATAGCCCTCGTGATTTCATAATCATTGAGATAGGAACATTCGGTCTTCAAGTGTTCAGTTCTCGAGATACAGGGCGTTGAAGTTGAGAAATGAAAATAGTTGTTTCGCAATATCTCAAGAATAATTGAATATAATGCATTCAACTTCGGTATATGGTTTCATCTTTGAATGGGCCATTTTTTGACCTGGAAGCCATTCCGGACATTTTGTCCAGTGGTGCCCTACAGGGGGTTGTGGCATTTTTTCCTTCCATATTTTCTACGCCACTGATTGAATTTCGATTATTTCCAATTCCTCGAATTCATTGTTCAATTTTGTTCAGAAAATGCATCACCTTCAACTGAGCTGAAATAAACAGTTTTCGAGATATTCGACCCAAAATAGAAGATTGCATAGTAATATTTCATCATTTTCAGTAGTAGAAAATTGCAAAAATATTTTTCTGGTGTTGAGTAGATTAGATACTATTCAGATCTCATTCCATAGCTGAACAGAAATAGTTATTCCACACATGAAGAGAAAACAAAAATTTTCGTTATTTTTTACTACCGAGGAAGATGAAAAATTACTATGCATACTTCTATTTTGGGCCAAATATCCCGATAACTGTTCATTTTAGCTCAGTTGAAGGTGGTGCATTTTTTCAACATAACTGAGCAAACAATTCGAGAAATTGGAAATAATTGAAATTTCATCAGTGGCGTAGAAAATATGGGAGGAAAAGTTATCACAACCCTCTGTAGCGCATCTCTGGATAAAATTCTCGGAATGTCTTTCTGGTCAAGAAATTAATCAGTGAAAGATGAAACCATATACCGAATTTGAATGCATTATATTAAATTATTCTTGAGATATTGCGAAAAAACTATTTAAATTTCTTAACTTCAACGCCCTGTATCTCGAGAACTGAACACTTCAAGACCGTCTGTCCCTATCTCAGTGATTATGAAATCACGAGGGCTATCACCTGTCAAGCGTTGTCGGTCGAATTTCGAAACACCCTGTATAGTAGGTAGCTTGTAATATGCAGGGTGAGTCGAAACTATCGGGACTTAGGCTAAGGGTGGATTATTCGGACCTAAATATGGCGGTAGAATCAAAATCAAAAAAGCGTTGAAATTGATATTTTTTCGTATTTTGCTAATAATTCGACTGTATATTCATTAATTGTTATCAAAATAGGCACAGAGACATAATATCATACCAGGAAATATTATATTGTAAAGGAATATTCTCAGATATAATTATGAACATAAAAAAAGGATATATATGAAAAGATGTATGTATTCTATATATATGTATTATTCTACAGTTTCTCGCTGGAGGCAACACGTGAATTATTGACAAAAATTTTTAGTGATTTTGGTTAGGAAATATGACATATGAACATATAATTTCAACTCTAAGCTGAACACAATATTTTCATACGTTTTCGAGGAAACGCAATTGAATAGGTCAAAGTCTCTGAGGGGGATTTCAAATATTATTTCATCTCTGAAGAGGGAGCTTTGGACCGTCAGATAATTTTTGCTAGTGAATAACATTTCTTGTCAGTGAATTCTGAATGAGTTCATAGTCAAGACTTTCTCGATTGAAACGCCCTGTATCTTTTTCCGAATAAATATTTCATTAAGTCATATTATGGTCCTATCGTCATATTTTGATACAAAAATATCTGCCCAATAGTGATGACTATACAGTGAGGACCAAAAGTCCGTCGCCCCCCTTGTAACTTCTTTATTCTACATATTACAAAAAAATGTTAAATACATAAGTTGTAGGGTTTCATTCGATCTCTTTAATAGTTTAAGTTTCATTCATACAGAGTGTCTCTGGAAAGCACGGTGACTTAGAAGTTAATTTTTTTAAATGGGACACCCTATATTTCATTGCATTTTCAAATTCTCTCTGAAGATCTGATTACATCGATGCATCACACTTGGGGTCTAGCGGAAATGATTACAGAGATATAGGGTGTGAAAAATCGTCATTTTTCAACTTTAGGAATTTTTTTTTTTCGAAACTATTCATTATTGGTCAAAACTGCTTACATGTCCCTATCTCAACTTTTGATCAACTATCTACTGATATTTAATTGGGACATATACCGGGTGATCAGGATTCTGAATTCTGCACCACCCTGTATTTGTTTCAATTAAATGTCAGTAGACAGTTGATCAAAAGTTGAGATAGGGACATGTGAGTCGTTTTGACCAATAATGAATAGTTTCGACAAAAAAAATTCCTAAAGTTGAAAAATGACGATTTTTCACACCCTATATCTCTGCAATCATTTCCGCTAGACCCCAAGTGTGACATATCGGTGAAATCAGCTCTTCAAAAAGAATCTGAAAATACAAAGAAATACAGGGTGTTCCGTTTGAAAAAATCGAGTAGTACTCTGTAGATCGATGTAATCAGATCTCCAGAAAGAATCTGGAAATGCAATGAAATACAGGGTGTCCCATTAAAAAAAATTAACTTCTAAGTCACCGTGCTTTTTAGAGACACTCTATATGTTTCTCAGCTAATGAATGCTGAAATCTGTTTTGCTGGAACCCTCATCATGAGCAGAAAAGAGCTGGTCTACTTGGCTTGTATATAACAATACAATCAAGTACTCGTAGGGTGAAAATTATACTGGGGGCTTAAAGAGCAAGCAACAGCAACATCTAAATGTCACCCAATCGATAATTAAGGTGACTGTATTCTATTACCTACTTAATCAAAGTGCTTGGGAAATCTCATCATGCCAGTGTTGAAAGGAAAGTAAACAGATAT